TGCAATGGTGTGTTATCTATCGTACACTTAGCAATGGTGTGTCATCTGTCGGACACTTCGCAATGGTGTGTCATATGTGGTACACTCAGCAATGGTGTGTCATCGGTCGTACACTTTGCAATGGTGTGTCATCTATCGTACACTTAGCAATGGTGTGTCATCTGTGGTACACTTAGCAATGGCGTGTCAGCAATGGTGTGTCATCTGTCGTACACTTTGCAATGGTGTGGCATCTATCGTACACTTAGAATTGGTGTGTCATCTGTCGTACACTTCGCAATGGGGTGTCATCTGTCGTACACTTAGCAATGGTCTGTCATCTGTCGTACACTTCGCAATGGTGTCTCATCTGTCGTACACTTAGCAATGGTGTGTCATCTGTCGTACACTTCGCAATGGTGTGTCATATGTGGTACACTCAGCAATGGTGTGTCATCTGTCGTACACTTTGCAATGGTGTGTCATCTATCGTACACTTAGCAATGGTGTGTCATCTGTCGTACACTTCGCAATGGTGTCTCATCTGTCGTACACTTAGCAATGGTCTGTCATCTGTCGTACACTTCGCAATGGTGCGTCATATGTGGTACACTCAGCAATGGTGTGTCATCGGTCGTACACTTTGCAATGGTGTGGCATCTATCGTACACTTAGAATTGGTGTGTCATCTGTCGTACACTGAGCAATGGTGTGTCATCCGTCGTACACTTCGTAATGGTGTGTCATCTGTCGTACACTTAGCAATGGTGTGTCATCTGTCGTACACTTCGTAATGGTGTGTCATCTGTCGTACACTTTGAATGGTGTGTCATCTATGGTACACTTCGCAATGGTGTGTCATCTGTGGTACACTTAGCAATGGTGTGTCATCTGTCGTAAACTTAGCAATGGTGTGTCATCTGTCGTACACTTCGTAATGGTGTGTCATCTGTCGTACACTTAGCAATGGTGTGTCATCTGTCGTACACTTAACAATGGTGTGTCATCTGTCGTACACTTAGCAATGGTTTGTCATCCGTCGTACACTTCGCAATGGTGTGTCATCTGTGGTGCACTTCGCAATGGTTTGTCATATGTGGGACACTTCGCAATGGTGTGTCATCTGCGGTACACTTCGCAATGGTTTGTCATATGTGGTACACTTCGCATTGGTGTGTCATCTGTCGTACACTTCGCAAGGGTGTGTCATCTGTCGCACACTTCGCAATGGTGTGTCATCTGTGGTGCACTTCGCAATGGTTTGTCATATGTGGTACACTTCGCAATGGTGTGTCATCTGTCGCACACTTCGCAATGGTGTGTCATGTGTGGTACACTTCACAATGGTGTGTCATCTGTGGTACACTTAGCAATGGCGTGTCATCTGTGGTACACTTCGCAATGGCGTGTCATCTGTGGTACACTTCGCAATGGTGTGTCATATGTGGTACTCTTCGCAATGGTGTGTCATCTGTCGTACACTTAGCAATGGTGTGTCATCTGTCGTACACTTCGCAATGGTGTGTCATCTGTCGCACACTTCGCAATGGTGTGTCATATGTGGTACACTTCGCAATGGTGTGTCATCTGTGGTACACTTCACAATGGTGTGTCATCTGTCGTACACTTAGCAATGGTGTGTCATCTGTCGCTACCTGTAGGATGCGACCTCACCCGCGGTCCCTGAATCACATGTTTTACAGTGTGATGAGAGATGGAAATCAGCAACATTTGACAAGTTTCACTGGGACAAAAAAAACCGAACATCTTCTAAAGGAAACATCAACATTTTATTCAAGTTCAAATGCACCTAACTTTGATTCATATTGAATACATTTATACAAATAATGCATGATTATTAATGACATCACAAAGGACAGCTAGAAAAACCGACACAGGAGACCTGATCATCGACGATGATCATACAGAATTCTGACTCAGGAAAGACTTTGGTCAGATGCAAGGAAGAAATCTGGACAATATACCGGTAATTAGTTTAGTTAAGGGTGTATGCTACCTTACCCTTTCCCAAAAAGGTTCCACATTCAGAAATATTCAAGATATTTCTAAGGGAGATAACTCTCACAACACAAACCACAGATACAATTTGTAAGATACTGTTTTAAATGAAGTAGATGCAGACAGATGTTCTTAGCATCAGAGAAGAGTTCATTTATAAAGAAATATTTTATTCTTCTTCTTGATCTTTTCTTCTTTTCAAAAGTTTGAAATTGCTTTTCTTCCAGAAGTTTGCAATTTTTACATATTTATATTACTGGTAGTAATATATTGTGGTATGATTGACAAGAAAATAATATTATTTCAATCCACACACTTGGAGTAACAAGGTAGTTGTACTGCTGTGCAGCCGTTCCATTTTTGACAACACCATTTAATTTGCCTCTAGGGAAGACAGAGCACAAAATATTTAATACACTTTTTATTTTTTGTACAAAAATACATCATGCTTTTAATACAGAAAATTAACCAATAGAAAATAATATGACGTTTTTTGGCATTTCATAAAAATGCACCATTTAATGAAAAGTCATAAACATTTCACCTAGCAAACATCACATTCTGGATCTGACCTCGGAAGATTGGTAAGCTAAATCTTATTAAAAATAAAATAAATCGAGTAAACCAAATTCTGCAAAAAAAAAAAAAAAAAAATATATCATTATTGAACTAAACTGAAAGTAAAGTTGTCTATATGAATATACTTTGGAATCAGATCAAAAGAGGCTTAAAACTACAGATGTACATCAGCTAAGCTCAGATAGGCCAAGTCCAGAATTGTAAACAATATTCATACACCAAATACAATGTAGGAGATGTGACACAATGACTTCTGACATAAGTGTGAACCGTTCTCTAGTCATCAACTATGCTTACATAACATATCCATGTATTGGTGCTACAACTTTACCCTATGTATGTCTAGTTATCATCACAATATCCTACCTGTATCATTGCCTGACAGACATTGTAACAGTAACGACAATTAAAAAATCTCAGTCATGATGTAGGAGTCATTAATTAAACAATGAACCACTTTTATCTTGAACCTCACACATACCACAAAAACTACCAAACAAATTCATTTATAACTAATCTGTTGGGGGTGCAGAATGTCTCTGTGAACAATCAACTTGAAATTGATCAGAATGTCTAAAATGTGTTTATCCTAGCACTCTCTAATGCCATACAGTAGAAGTCTATCAATGCCCAATTTTAAGCTGGAAAATTATTCTACAGTTCCTGTACAATAGATTTTATAGGCAAGGTAAGGCTAACATGATCCTGTTAATCCCTGACTAAACTGCATGATTACCTCTGACTTACAACTGAATGGCAAGATATCAATTTCCACTTGTGCACTCTTACAAAAATAACATCAGTGAAGGTCAATTTACAGAGGTCATCACATACAGGTCAAAGGTCATCACATACAGGTCAAAGGTTGTCACACACAGGTCAAAGGTTTTATATGAATTTTTATGAAAATGGTAATGCAATTTTGACCTTACAGTAAAAAATGTCAGAAACACTGTTTCAAAATTCTAAGGTCCGTGACAGTCCATGCTGGGATGGCCATGGGAGGAGGCTAATCAGCTGGGAACTGTATCAATCCCAGGTCTCTAGTGTAAGGGGATGTACTATTTATCTTCCACCCTTTCTCTCAAACAATTTTCAACCTAGGCCTAGATCCTCTGTTGGTTGAACATTTTTCATGCCTCACACATATCTATGAAAGATGAATACTGATAAAGGTCTAGTGTTGAATTGTTGATCACACAAAGTGAGCAGCACCAAGATGATCAGGTGAGAGGTTTGTAATAAACATTCACTGATTTTACCTAGATGATTGCATGTCGGCCATTTTGTTTATCCGATCAGTCTCAAAGGTAAACATGCACAACTACTGACTGAGGGGAACCTACACACAAAATTTGGAAAGAACCCTCCAAAACTTCCTGAGAAAAAGAGATAAAAACATTCACTATCAAAATCCAATATGGTTGCATGTCGACCATTTTGTTTAACCTATCAGTCTCAAAAGTAAACATGCACAACTACAGACCAAGGGGAACCTTCATATTAAATTTGAGAAAGATCCTTCCTGCACTTTCAGAGAAATAGCGATAACAAGAATTGTTTAAAGACGGACCACGGACCACAGACGCAGGATGATTTGAATAGCCCACCATCAGATGATGGTGGGCGAAAAGTTACCAGGAGGAAGATGTCCTAATTTTGAATATCATGCTTTAAAACAAATGTGTCAATCTGCTTTAAAAATAAACGGATCAACAGCATAATCATTTGTCCTAAGATATGAAATGTTTTATCTTATTCACAAAGTAAAAACTAAACTAAATTCCTGTACTACTGTCTGTTTAACATGTGTTTTATAAATGGACTTGACCTATCTGCTGTAAAAAGTGTATTGTAACACAATAAACAAATTAAAAAAAGTCTGGATAAATGAAATGACAAAACATGATACATGAATTAATTAAACAATGAGTCTAACATGAAATTAATTAACATAGTCTTTATTGTAATATATATACATTGTTATTTTACTATTCCTCATCAAAGGAAAATATTTATATGTAATACAAATTTATATATAAATAATAGAATTCAAAATTGCTTAAATTATATAAAACAGATATACACCCGCTCCTGATACAGAGACATATCCTATCCCCCATACAGAGACACACCCACTCCCCATACAGAGATACACCCACTTCCCCATAGAGACACACCCACTCCCCATACACAGACACACACTCCCCATACAGAGACACACACACTCCCCATACAGAGGCACACCCACTCCCCATAGAGACACACCCACTTCCCCATAGAGACACACCCACTCCCCATACACAGACACCCCCACTCCCCATACACAGACAAACATTGTACCATCATCATTGTACCTACAATCACACGATCTTGACACACACACTCCCCATATAGAGATACACCCACTTCCCCATAGAGACACACCCACTCCCCATACACAGACACACCCACTACCCATACACAGACACACCCACTCCCCATACAGAGACACACACACTCCCCATACAGAGGCACACCCACTACCCATAAAGAGACATAACCACTACCCATACAGAGACACACCCACTACCCATAAAGAGACACACCTACTCCCCATACAGAGACACACCCACTCCCCTTACAGAGACACACCCACTCCCCATACAGACACACCCACTCCCCATACAGAGACACAACCACTCCCCAAACAGTCAAACAAATTTATTAACAAACTTATCTTAAACAATTTTCTTTTTTGAACAAAATTTGAATTTTGTTCCCAATAGAGGAATTTTCTCCTAACCATCAAAGATCTGTTTACTGCTGACAATGTTTCGAGCCTCTTGGTAATCAGGAACACTTGTTAAAAGCATGATTTTATCTTTATAAGACATATCAGCTTCTAGGCATACATTGTTTGCCACATTTTTGCTGAAAAGCAACATTTTACGATAAAAATTGTTCCACTGCACTCACACTTACCATTTTATAACAATAATAAAAATATTGAATTGAAATTGAGATCTATCTAGAACTATTTAAGCTCAACTTAGTTTAAAACATTACCTTTTGTTTTGAATGAATAAGCTAAAATATTCAAAAATGTTAATACTATAATTGTTGTATAATTAAGTTTTAATTTTAATGTCATTTTTCATCTTGAGGCTGGCAAATAATACAGTTAAGGTAGTGCTAACATATTATTACTCCAAACGGCCTCAGCAGATTTTTTTTGAAATTTAATATTATATATTGACTTTTAATTTAAACAAGTTGATTTTATTGAAAACTTTGATTTATGTATTGAAAATGAAGTAAAACACCTGGTCATAGGATATGAAAACAAACAAATGTGTATATATATATCTGTCTCCACAGTTTATAGATATAATTACATGTATATATAAATGAGGTAAATAAAAAGAATAACCACATCATTCATAACACATTTAAGATGAGACTATGTATAAATTAATAGATTTTTGTACCAACTATTAATGTGGATTTACAAGTCAGTGATTGTGTACATCAATATCGACACAGAATATCACAATTCTCCAGACAACCTGACAGAGGATGGCACAATTTGTTTTTTATTATGTACATTAGATATAAACAGCCATCAGGCCTGGTGTCACTGTACATGTTAGGGTATCTCTGTCAACTCCTCCCCTAGTACATAGCTATAGTAACATGGCTCTCTGTCAACTCCTCCCCTAGTACATAGTAACAAGGTTCTCTGTCAACTCCTCCCCTAGTACATAGCTATAGTAACATGGCTCTCTGTCAACTCCTCCCCTAGTACATAGTAACATGGTTCTCTGTCAACTCCTCCCCTAGTACATAGCTATAGTAACATGGCTCTCTGTCAACTCCTCCCCTAGTACATAGTAACATGGTTCTCTGTCAACTCCTCCCCTAGTACATAGTAACATGGTTCTCTGTCAACTCCTCCCCTAGTACATAGTAACATGGTTCTCTGTCAACTCCTCCCCTAGTACATAGTAACATGGTTCTCTGTCAACTCCTCCCCTAGTACATAGTAACATGGTTCTCTGTCAACTCCTCCCCTAGTACATAGTAACATGGTTCTCTGTCAACTCCTCCCCTAGTACATAGTAACATGGTTCTCTGTCAACTCCTCCCCTAGTACATAGTAACATGGTTCTCTGTCAACTCCTCCCCTAGTACATAGTAACATGGTTCTCTGTCAACTCCTCCCCTAGTACATAGTAACATGGTTCTCTGTCAACTCCTCCCCTAGTACATAGTAACATGGTTCTCTGTCAACTCCTGCCCTAGTACATAGTAACATGGTTCACTGTCAACTCCTCCCCTAGTACATAGTAGCATGGTTCTCTGTCAACTCCTCCCCTAGTACATAGTAACAAGGTTCTCTGTCAACTCCTGCCCTAGTACATAGCTATAGTAACATGGCTCTCTGTCAACTCCTCCCCTAGTACACAATAACAAGGTTCACAGTGTAGTTATCAGATTACCGTACATGTTACGGTAGGTTGTCGTCTTTTTACCAAGTAAGTATACAGCATAACTAGACAAATATTTGATTTCATTAATAATCTTATTCATAACAGCAAAGGAAGGTACATGTTAAAAACAGATATTAACAAACAATATTTCCCCTGCTCAACACACACATACAGTACTGTGGCAACAAGTTCACAAAAATAACACATTTTTTAATGGATCTGAGTGATCCATATCATAAATTAAAAGTTTCAGTTTCAATCATTCCACCTACAAAGAAAACAGGCAGTCTTCGTATTCCACAAAATCCTGTATTGATAAACTTGCCTTGAAAGAACACCTGATCTTTTTAATAGCTGGTGAATTCTGTTGTGAACTTCCAAACATTAAATTTCAATTTCTTAAACATGTTTCTTTTATAATCACATTGGATTTCTTCTTAAAAAGATTAAAAAAATTATTTAAAGACCCAACATAAATAGGATTGTTTTTATTGTTTTCAATTATACATAAAAATTCAAAGTGGCTATATATACGTGCAATATCTTGGAAATTGAAATTAAGTCAAGAAATCCTTCCATTAAAAAAGCTGAAGTTAACAATTTGAAGACAGATTTCTGACTTAATTCCAATTTTTGAACATTGATTTTCTACAAAGCAATTTAAACAGGAATACATTACTACTCGAAGTCTTGGCACACGAAACACAAAGCAGCGATATTCATTTGAATTGTTTCTGTGGTCCAGGAGTCCTTAATGCTTGTACCAGGTAAACTGAGTTACACAGGGCACAGAAGAACCTAGGATCACCTACCACACCACAAGCTTACCAGAACACACAGGCCAGACAGAGCTTATGATGATGCATGCAGTCTTTCTGGGTTATTCACAAATCTACAAGCACAGTCCCGTAACTGCAAGTCTTTCTCAGTTACAAATCTACAAGCAAAGTCGTGTATGCAACAGTCAACATCCCAAGAGATGCAGACAAACCGTGATGAATATTCTCTACGACGAGCACCTCTGTTACCATCCGAAACTAAACCTCCTTTCTGAAACGGCAACTCATGAACATACCCCAGACTCAATGTTTCTCAGTGAAAGACAAATCGCATTTCAACATGTACTTGTAGTACACAGGAGTACTAGTGGAAGTTTCAACAATGCGACGGCCAGACTAAGGAGTGTTATAAGTCACAGGTGAAGAAGAAATGACCTAATGTTCACCATTGTTACACTTCCTGTTCCGAATCATTCATTAGGGGCTCGTTTTCTATACTCTGATGACCTGTAAAGAGAGTAAAAAGTGGTCAAGTACAGCAGTCAAATTAAACTTACCTACTAAAATGTACAACCTCTGTCATTTGACCTAATATGTACCTATTAAAGTAGGTCAACCATAATCCAGCATATATTTACTCAACATCAATAATGATCAGAAGTTACCAATTACAATGTACACAATGTACACAATGTACTTATATTCATTTATCAAAATTTTAATTTAGTAGAATTTTGCTTTCACCTTTGTGAAACTTAGGTACACTGTAGGTAAGGTAGGTATGTAGGTAGTCAGGCAAAATCATTATTAGTTTTGAAAATACTTAACAAATATTAGAGAAAGCCTTTCAGACTTCTATAGTGCCAGTTTTAAATCAGAAGAAAACATCTACAGCAGAAACATGCTTCAGTTCAATTTTTTTGCCTCAATCTTGTTTCTTGTTTATGACGAAGAAAATCTAATTACATTATTCACGATTATCTGCATATACATTTGATGTGTAATTTTTGTTGGAAAGAAACAGTATTAATTCAATTTTTGATAATTTTCAGAAAATTAAGTTGCATAAAAAGATCAAATCCCCCCATTTTTTTTAGAGAGAGAATTATTTAATCAGTATATCTGCATTGATGTTGGGTGTACTACAGGAACACAACCTTAAAAAAAAAATATCACTTTAAGTTTAAACACAAATATATAAAAGTTTCTTCGCTAAAAAAATAAAATAAGAGTGACATTAGTAAGAGATCTTGGCACCTACAATCACAAGATCTTGGTGCCTACAATCACAAGAACATTGTACCATCATCATTGTACCTACAATCACACGATCTTGGTGCCTACAATCACACGATCATTGTACATCATCATTGTACCTACAATCACAAGATCTTGGTGCCGACAATCACACGATCATTGTACCATCATCATTGTACCTACAATCACACGATCTTGGTGCCTACAATCACAAGATCATTGTACCATCATGATTGTACCTACAATCACAAGATCTTGGTGCCTTCAATCACAAGATCATTGTACCATCATCATGGATTGTACCATCATCATTGTACCTACAATCAAAAGATCTTGGTGCCTACAATCACAAGATCTTTGAACCTACAATCACAAGATCTTGCTGCCTACAATCACAAGATCATTGTACCATCATGATTGTACCTACAATCACAAGATCTTGGTGCCGACAATCACACGATCATTGTACCATCATCATTGTACCTACAATCACAAGATCAAGAGTGACATTAGTAAGAGATCTTGGCACCTACAATCACAAGATCTTGGTGCCTACAATCCCAAGATCATTGTACCATCATCATTGTACCTACAATCACACGATCTTGGTGCCTACAATCACACGATCATTGTACCATCATCAATGTACCTACAATCACAATATCTTGGTGCCTACAATCACAAGATCATTGTACCATCATCATTGCACCTTCAATCACAAGATCTTGGTGCCTACAATCACAAGAACATTGTACCATCATCATTGTACCTACAATCACAAGATCTTGGTGCCTTCAATCACAAGATCATTGTACCATCATCATGGCCCCTACAATCACAAGATCTTGGTGCCTACAATCACACGATCATTGTACATCATCATTGTACCTACAATCACAAGATCTTTGTACCTACAATCACAAGATCTTTGAACCTACAATCACAAGATCTTGCTGCCTACAATCACAAGATCATTGTACCATCATCATTGCACCTTCAATCACAAGATCTTGGTGCCTACAATCACATGATCATTGTACCATCATCATTGTACCTACAATCACAAGATCTTGGTTCCTACAATCACAAGATCATTGTACCATCATGATTGTACCTACAATCACAAGATCTTGGTGCCGACAATCACACGATCATTGTACCATCATCAATGTACCTACAATCACAATATCTTGGTGCCTACAATCACAAGATCATTGTACCAACATCATGGCACCTACAATCACAAGATCTTTGCACCTACAATCACAAGATCTTGGTGCCTACCATCCCACGATCATTGTGCCATCATCATTGTACCTACAATCACAAGATCAAGAGTGACATTAGTAAGAGATCTTGGCACCTACAATCACAAGATCTTGGTGCCTATAATCACAAGATCATTGTACCATCATCATGGCACCTACACTCACAAGATCTTGGTGCCTACAATCACAAGAACATTGTACCATCATCATTGTACCTACAATCACAAGATCAAGAGTGACATTAGTAAGAGATCTTGGCACCTACAATCACAAGATCTTGGTGCCTACAATCACAAGAACATTGTACCATCATCATTGTACCTACAATCACACGATCTTGGTGCCTACAATCACACGATCATTGTACCATCATCAATGTACCTACAATCACAATATCTTGGTGCCTACAATCACAAGATCATTGTACCATCATCATGGCACCTACACTCACAAGATCTTGGTGCCTACAATCACAAGATCTTTGAACCTACAATCACAAGATCTTTGTACCTACAATCACAAGATCATTGTACCATCATGATTGTACCTACAATCACAAGATCTTGGTGCCGACAATCACACGATCATTGTACCATCATCATTGTACCTACAATCACAAGATCTTTGTACCTACAATCACAAGATCATTGTACCATCATCATTGCACCTACAATCACAACATCATTGTACCATCATCATGGCACCTACAATCACAAGATCTTGGCACCTACAATCACAAGATCTTTGAACCTACAATCACAAGATCTTGGTGCCTACAATCACAAGATCATTGTACCATCATCATTGCACCTACAATCACAAGATCTTGGTGCCTACAATCACAAGATCATTGTACCATCATCATGGCACCTACAATCACAAGATCTTGGTGCCTACAATCACACGATCATTGTACCATCATCATTGTACCTACAATCACAAGATCTTGGTGCCTACAATCACAAGATCATTGTACCATCATCATGGCACCTACAATCACAAGATCTTGGTGCCTACAATCACACGATCATTGTACCATCATCATTGTACCTACAATCACAAGATCTTGGTGCCTACAATCACAAGATCATTGTACCATCATCATGGCACCTACAATCACAAGATCTTGGCACCTACAATCACAAGATCTTTGAACCTACAATCACAAGATCTTTGCACCTACAATCACAAGATCATTGTACCATCATCATGGCACCTACAATCACAAGATCTTCACACCTACAATCACAATATCTTGGTGCTTAAATTCACAAGATCTTTGTGCCTACATTCACAAGATCTTGGCACCTACAATCACAAGATCTTTGCACCTACAATTACAAGATCGTGACGCCTACATTCACAAGATCTTTGTTTGTTTCTGTAAGGTAAGTCTGATCTGTCTTGTTCTTTGATAGTCATGTCAACAGAAGATGTATAATGTGGCAACTTTTGATCAACAGTTATTACTGCTGTGTTTGAAATTGTCCTTTAAGGTGAGGCTGTTGTTTGACCTTGTCACTGGGACAGTAATGTGTAAACAAGACAGGTCTAGATAGAACATTCAAAAGATATTCCTCCAGTACTTTCTGAGAAATAGCAATAAATCAGTCATTTCAAAGATGGACACCTGAAAGCATCTGGTTTTTGTGTTCAGTCTTCAAACTGAATTACAAACCTGAGAACCACAGTGTTTCTGTGAACCTACATGTGAAATTTCAGTCAGTTCTGAGAAATAGTCATAAAAACTTTAACTGTCATAATTCATGATGGCTACCTGGCTGGCATCTTATCTCATTCAGTCTTAAAAGAAAACATGCACAACTACCAGGAAGATTCTAAACAGGAAATTTGATAAAGTATTTGAGAAAAATAGCATGAACAGGACATGTTTACAGATAGATAACATAGGTCAATAGACAAATAGCATGAACAGGACATGTTTACAGATAGATAACATAGGCCCATAGACAAATAGCATGAACAGGACATGGTTACAGATAGATAACATAGGCACATAGACAAATAGCATGAACAAGACATGTTTACAGATAGATATCATAGGCCCATAGTCAAATAGCATGAACAGGACATCCTACAATCACAAGATCTTAGTGCCTCAAATCACGAGATCATTGTACCAGCATCATGGCACCTACAATCACACGATCATTGTACCATCATCGTGGCACCTACAATCACACGATCATTGTACCATCATCGTGGCACCTACAATCACACGATCTTGGTGCCTACAATCACAAGAACTTGGCACCTACAATCACACGATCTTGGTGCCTACAATCACAAGATCTTAGTGCCTCAAATCACGAGATCATTGTACCAGCATCATGGCACCTACAATCACAAGATCATTGTACCATCATCATGGCACCTACAATCACAAGAACTTGGCACCTACAATCACACGATCTTGGTGCCTACAATCACAAGAACTTGGCACCTACAATCACAAGATCATTGTACCATCATCGTGGCACCTACAATCACACGATCTTGGTGCCTACAATCACACGATCTTGGTGCCTACAATCACAAGATCATTGTACCATCATCATTGTACCTACAATGATGATGGTACAATGATCTTGTGATTTCATGCTATTTGTCATCTGTATTCACTATTTATCTATGGGCCTATGTTAGCTATCTGTAAACATTTCGTGTTCATGCTATTTGGCTATGGGCCTATGTTATTTATCTGTATTCATTATTTGTTTATGGGCCTATGCTATCTACCTGTAAACATGTCCTGTTCATGCCATTTGTCTATGGGCCTAGGTTATCTATCTGTAAAAATGTCTTGTTCATGCTACTTGTCTATGTGCCTATGTTATCTATCAGTAAACATGTCTTGTTAATGCTATTTGTCTATGGTCCTATGTTATCTATCTGTACACATGTCCTGTTCATGCCATTTGTCTATGGGCCTTTGTTATCTATCTGTACACATGTCCTGTTCATGCCATTTGTCTATGGGCCTAGGTTATCTATCTGTAAAAATGTCTTGTTCATGCTATTTGTCTAGGGGCCAATGTTATCTATCTGTAAAAATGTCTTGTTCATGCTATTTGTCATCTGTATTCACTATTTATCTATGGGCCTATGTTAGCTATCTGTAAACATTTCGTGTTCATGCTATTTGCCTATGGGCCTATGCTATCTACCTGTAAACATGTCCTGTTGATGCTATTTGTCTATGTGCCTTTTTTATCTATCTGTAACCACGTCCTGTTAATGCTATTTGTATATGGGCCTATGTTAGCTATCTGTAAACATTTCGTGTTCATGCTATTTGACTATGGGCCTATGATATCTTAAAGGTCGAAAAATGTTGTTATATAGTGATTAAGCTAACCACTATATAACAATAACATAGGCACATAGACAAGTAGCATGAACAAGACGTGTTTACAGATAGATCACATAGGCCCATAGACAACTAGTGAATACAGATAAATAACATAGGCACATAGACAAGTAGCATGAACAAGACATTTTTACAGATAGATAACAAAGGCCCATAAGGCCCATAGACAAATAGCATGAACAGGACATGGTTACAGATAGATAGCATAGGCCCATAGACAAATAGTGAATACAGATAAATAACATAGGCCCATAGACAAATAGTGAATACAGATAGATAACAAAGGCCCATAGACAAATATTGAATTGAATAGCCCACCATCTAATGATGGGTCTGTAATTAACAAGTGGTTATGGATTCATAATTCACTGATTTTCACAAGGAACCGTTAGCAATTTTAAATGAAGCCATAATCAAGGAATTCCTATGAATTATGAATGTAACATAACATGGGACATACAATTTTGGAAATGTTTGGATTAAGATAGCCTTCAAAATGACAGTAGCAATGGACAATAGGTAAATCTAGACAGGGCATGTACAGTTACAGCAAGCACCACCCCCACCACCTACCCCACACCACCCCCACACAAGCCGTTACCCCTCTAGATCTGTATGTAGAGTATAAGTGATCAAGTCTAGCAATAATGAAGTTATATACCAGGGCCCTGTTGTTCAAAAGGTGGTTAGCTTAATCACTATATAACAACATTTTTCGACCTTTAATGATTTTGTCAATATACAAGGCAAAATCTCACAGTTTTGCATGTAAATTCACTCTACTAAATATTTGATATTTGGAAAGTTATAACTAATTCAATGGTTGTTTTTTAAAAAGTTATAAAAAAAATCATAATTTGTGCTAATCACTGGGTAAGCTAATCACCTTTTGAACAACTGGGCCCTTGTTGGTTTTACGAACATCACACTGCCTGAATTTAAACCACCAATTCTTCAGAGTGTCTGTATACATATTATTTTGTTTTAATTGCAAGTACTCCCCTACTACAATGAAAATTAGAGTCATTGTTTGGGAAATTTCTATAAATAATAATGGCAACTTTAGCCTTGACTTTGGAACTCTGATACAACCATATTAAATTTCATACTTGGTCTTTACTTAAAGTTTAATCAAAATCTGTTAAGAAATAAAATTGGAATCGTGATGATACTGAATTGGCTGCCAAATTTATGTAAATAGGTGTCCTTGGTCTTGACCTTGGAACTCAGAAATACAGACTTATTCAAGGATATGTATTTTTCAAACTTGACCTTTGTATAAAGTTTGATCAAAATCAATTACGAAACGAAGTTGCTTAAGTGATGACACTTACTAAGTAATCAGGACGGGACTTTCTTGAGTTGTATGTGTGACTAGCCTAAGGAAGTTCCTGGGATCTGTGCAGGCTAAATAGTATACATGTCATGTGGATATCTTATATGGTGCGGTACAGTGTGTGTATATAAGGTGCTTTATTTACATTTGTATATCAGATACTGTCACAACCAGATAGACATGTACAGTTGTCTCCCCTTCAAAGGCTAGGACAAGGTGGTTCTGCATGTATATTTGACTTTGGACTTAAATTTTGAAAGTTACAGTAATGATCACCTACTGTACCATAACAACGTATAAGCTGCTAAAACTAATATCCTTCTGTTACTTCTTGGGTTAATCTTGTACATGATAATTAACAACCTGGCTCGACATCTTGATATCTTGGTAAATCCTTATATAGGCCACAGAAGTTAAAACAACTGCTGTCATTATTATCTAATTTTACACATGGACACTTCTAACGTGAAGATTTCTCCCACAGATCAAAAATAAATTCCCCATTAAAGGAGCGACAACTAGGATAAAAATATGGTAAATATTTCTCCATAGAAGGGGAGACAACAAGGGTCAAGGTTGGTAGCTATTTCTCCATTAATGGGGAGACAACCTGGGACAACAAGGATGTAGCTACTCACTTCCTCGTCTGGACAGGAAATAATCTGAATATTCACATATTTAGAGTTCTTTTTAGATCATTCTGAATTACCTGGTACATATATTTAATTCAGATAAAGCAACCAAGTCATTTAAATATTTCTAAGGGAAATAACCCAAACACAGAATATGTGTAAGGAACAAACATTCTTATCTCATTCACCCCTGGAATTTCATAATAAACTATTCCAACCTTTGAATTGGAAGAGTTCAATTGTGTCTTCAGGGGTGAATGAGTTAAGATAGCAATTGTAATTTTTTATGTCATCACAATTTCTACCTAAAACTCTAAATGGACTACCTGCAAACTGTCTTGCTTCATGCAAGAAGTAAATTGATTCATAAAATCTTCTCCTACCTTGAAGGTGTGACAGAGAATCTGCAACCCGCAGGACATTTTTTTGGTTATTGACTTAACCAAGATTTCTCTGTTACATCCTCAAGGCAGATAATGATTATTGTTCTCACAAGGTCTCAGTACTTTGTTTGAAAACAATAGATTTTATAATATTCTTTCATTCTGTTTTGAAGATGACCAATGACATACTCTAGGGGGTGACAGAAGAATCATGGACATTTAAAACGGGAGATAATTCTGTTAATGTTTGGAGAAAAGAATATCATAATGGGATAGCCATGCATATCACCCGACTACTTGGTTGAAACCATGCATCAAATTACTATAAACTACAGGCTTTATGACAATTTCAATAAAGAGATATAACTGCACCCTCTTTCTTATCAATATGAAACATACAAATAACCCTGTAATGTATATCACCTACCTGATTCTTGACTAAAAGTTTCAACAGTTGAAGAAGCTGTACGCCGAGAGCTGCCCTTCCCTACAGAGCTGTGTGGACTCTCCGGTACAAATATAGCTACAAGCAATGCCATTATGACTAGGATGGTTCCAAAGGCAAAGGGTGGACCAGGGATCATACTCTGAAGATAGAAAAGATCTCAAAATAATGTTGGTACATATGTTTTATATAATGGTGGTACATAAGTGTTATATAATGTTGGTACATATGGGTTATATAATGTTTGTACATATGTGTTATATAATGTTTGTACATATGTGTTATATAATGGTGGTACATAAGTGTTATATAATGGTGGTACATATGTGTTATATAATATTTGTACATATGTGTTATATAATGGTGGTACATATGTGTTATATATAATGGTGGTACATATGTGTTATCTAATGTTTGTACATATGTGTAATATAATGTTTGTACATATGTGTTATATAATGGTGGTACATATGTGTTATCTAATGTTTGTAAATATGTGTTATATAATGGTTGTACATATGTGTTATATAATGGTGGTACATAAGTGTTATGTAATGTTGGTACATAAGTGTTATATAAAGGTGGAACATATGTGTTATATAATGTTGGTACATATGGGTTGTATAATGTTTGTACATATGTGTTATATAATGTTTGTACATATGTGTTATATAATGTTTGTACATATGTGTTATATAATGTTTGTACATATGCGTTATATAATGTTGGTACATATGTGTTATGTAATGTTGGTGCATATGTGTTATATAATGTTGGTACATATGTGTTATGTAATGTTGGTGCATATGTGTTATATAATGTTGGTACATATGTGTTATATAATATTGGTACATATGTGTTATCTAATGTTTGTACATATGTGTTATATAATGGTGGTACATATGTATTATATAATGGTGGTAAATGTGTTATATAATGGTGGCACATATGTGTTATATAATGTTGGTACATATCGGTTATATAATGTTTGTACATATGTGTTATATAATGTCGGTACATATGTGTTATGTAATGTTGGTACATATGTGTTATATAATGGTGGTAAATGTATTATATAATGGTGGTACATATGTGTTATATAATTGTGGTACATATGTGTTATATAATGTTGGTGCATATGTGTTATATAATGTTTGTACATATGTGTTATATAATGTTTGTACATATGCGTTATATAATGTTGGTACATATGTGTTATGTAATGTTGGTACATATGTGTTATATAATGTTGGTACATAATTGTGTTATATAATGTTGGTACATATGTGTTATAGAATGTTGGTACATATGTGTTATATAATGGTGGTACATGTGTGTTATATAATGTTGGTACATGTGTTATATAATGGTGGTACATATGTGTTATCTAATGTTTGTACATATGTGTTATATAATGGTGGGACATATATGTTATATAATGGTGGTACATAAGTGTTATATAAAGTTGGTACATATGTGTTATATAGTGGTGGTACATATGTGTTATATAATGTTTGTACATATATGTTATATAATGTTGGTACATATGTGTTATGTAATGTTGGTGCATATGTGTTATATAATGTTGGTACATATGTGTTATAGAATGTTGGTACATATGTGTTATATAATGGTGGTACATGTGTGTTATATAATGTTGGTACATGTGTTATATAATGGTGGTACATATGTGTTATATATAATGGTTGTACATATGTGTTATCTAATGTTTGTACATATGTGTAATATAATGTTTGTACATATGTGTTATATAATGTTGGTACATATGGGTTATATAATGTTTGTACATATGTGTTATATAATGTCGGTACATATGTGTTATGTAATGTTGGTACATATGTGTTATATAATGTTGGTAGATATGTGTTATATAATGGTGGTACATATGTGTTATCTAATGTTTGTAAATATGTGTTATATAATGGTTGTACATATGTGTTATATAATGGTGGTACATAAGTGTTATATAATGGTGGTACATATGTGTTATATAATTGTGGTACATATGTGTTATATAATGTTGGTGCATATGTGTTATATAATGTTTGTACATATGTGTTATATAATGGTGGGACATATATGTTATATAATGGTGGTACATAAGTGTTATATAATGGTGGTACATAGGTGTTATATAATATTTGTACATATGTGTTATATATTGTTGGTATATATGTGTTATATTATGTTGGTACATATGTGTTATATAATGTTGGTAGATATGTGTTATATAATGGTGGTACATATGTGTTATCTAATGTTTGTAAATATGTGTTATATAATGTTTGTACATATGTGTTATATAATGGTGGGACATATATGTTATATAATGGTGGTACATAAGTGTTATATAATGGTGGTACATAGGTGTTATATAATATTTGTACATATGTGTTATATAATGGTGGTACATAAGTGTTATATAAAGTTGGTACATATGTGTTATATAATGGTGGTACATGTGTGTTATATAATGTTGGTACATGTGTTATATAATGGTGGTACATATGTGTTATATAATGGTGGTACATAAGTGTTATATAATGTTGGTACATAAGTGTTATATAAAGGTGGCACATATGTGTTATATAATGTTGGTACATATGGGTTATATAATGTTTGTACATATGTGTTATATAATGTTGGTACATAAGTGTTATATAACGGTGGCACATATGTGTTATATAATGTTGGTACATATGTGTTATATAATGGTGGTACATATGTGTTATATAATGTTGGTACATAAGTGTTAAAGATGTAAGCTGCTCCACTGCGACATGCTCTTATTATTCTAAAGACTGATAAAAGATAAACCTGAAACATACCATATTCCATGCAATAAGCACCTCACCCTTATAAGTGCCCCTTGTGTTTCCTAGTCAGAGCATCCCATTCCTTCAACACAATTTACTGTCTTACTCGAAAATATTGTCTATTACAGGTATTTTTTCGGTAGGATTTAACCTCTTCTAAAATCTCTAGGATTAAGTTGATCATCAGTCAATATGTAAATTCATTGTACCAACCTCTATAAAGATGACTAGACTGACCATGGTCAATAATTACCTATGTTTGATGGCCACTGGTGAATACCTACCTCCATAACTGTGAGGCCACTGGTCAATTCTTACTTTTACTTGGCTGACCACTGATCAGTACCTACCTCTATAACTGTGAGGCCACTGGTCAATACTTACCTTTACTTGGCTGACCACTGATCAGTACCTACCTCTATGGGATTGATCACACTGGGGTGTGCTGTGGCGTTAGCAGCTAGAGTATTGGTTTTTGTATCCACTGTAGGGGCTTCCTTCAGGTCCACTTGGAACAGATAGAATATGAAGCCAAACATGGCTGGACCGAACCCGTTACACAGTCCACGTATACCGGTGATGACTCCCTGGGCAACACCTGTACAATACAATCACTAGTTTAGACACCAGGTTACAGTTTCTTGATAAAAAAATCAAATCGTCAGAACTGAAGCATACTGATGACATATAGTCAAACATTGTTGTAACAATCAATAGCATATACCTTGTGTATCTACCATTTTGAATCAAAATTTGTTCTGACATTTCCCTGTCTTGCATTTTCACTTGGATATGTTGATCTTTCTGCATACCTTTAATTCTGTTCAGTGTCTACAACCTTGAATAAAGTGGTTTGACTGAATTTTTGCTTACATTGTGCATGCATGCATAATCAAATTTGAACTTCATGGTCAAAATTTGTTAATGCATGTTTAATGCAGGCAAAGTAAACATATTACAAGTAATTCATAGTCTCCCACCTCTCGACAAACATTGGTACCAGAAGTGGACAAAGGGCGATAACTGTGTATTTAGCGGGACACAAGATATGATTTTAACATGTGACACTCTGTAATCCCAAGATGTATAGCAATTGCAGGTGACAGGGAATATGGGCCTTAACGGTCACCTGATATATTTATACAGAGAGTTGATTTTGTTTTTAACATGAACAGAAATATTATTCAATGTGACAAAAAAAACAATAAAATCACCTTATTCACAATCTAGCATACAGATTTAGGACTGAAAAGTATTTGAAACTAGCACCTCTGATTCTAAACAAGGAAAATGAAGAAATTTTAGCGCAATGACTTCTTTGGGCCCCACCCTACAGCCCTTGGGAGTAGGGCTGGCTCAAAATTTTCACAGTATCAAACTGTCAACTCAGGGATATAATTCCTATCAAGTTATTAACATGTAATATTCAGTATCATTTGCCATTATAAACCATAATAAATTTTGCCCCCCCCCCCNAATTTCAGTCAATTCAACCCTTTTCGGCCCCACCCATCAACCCCGGGGGGGTCAGTCAGGGCTCATATGTGCATACCATCAAACTGCTATCCAATACTGATAATGTTAACCCAAATTGAATTACTTCCAATGGAAATTAAACAAATGTTGGTCCAAAATATGATTTCCCTATATAAACTATAGTAAAGTTTACCCCCTCCCCAAGGGGTAAACGTAAGACCCCAGGGTCATGAAATTCACAATTTTGGTAAAGCATCTTAAGACCCTTCCATCTATGAAGAGTATTTGATTCTACCATATCTGGGTCTTGAGAAGAAGAGTTTTGAAATTTTAGTCAATTTGACCCTTTTTGGCCTCGCCCCTCAGGCCCCTGGGGGTTGGGAACCAAATCAGCCACTTTTTTTGTTGACCTTTGGCCATGGAAGGTTACTGCAAAATTTCATTGAAATTGGTTCAAGGGTTTCGGAGAAGAAGTCGAAAATGTAAATTGTTGACGGACGCACGACAGACGCTGCCAGACAAAAGGCGATCGCAATAGGTCACTTGAGACTTTGTCCTTAAAATGCTCCAAACAAAGCAAAAAGTGGAAAACAAAAGGTACTATGTTAACGGAAGTAACATACAGCCAATTGTTGGTGAGAGAATAAAGGAGATATGCCACAGAGAAAGTGACACACTGACTGACCGCTAGAGTCCAAACCTTCAGACTCCTCCAGTCTCTACCTTCCCAACAGTTTAAATTTAAATAAATCTATTGACATTCGTTCCCATTATCTTGCAATTCAAAACAATATTTTGACCTGTGGCTGGTTATGTTCAAGTTTTCTTAATTTGCAAACAGACATACTGAAGTAATGCTCAGGACTTGTTTTTATTATCTCTGAGATCAGAGGTAAAATAATAGGTAACATAGACCTGTTTTTGTTAACTCTGAGATCAGAGATAAAATAATAGGTCACATAGACCTGTTTTTGTTAACTCTGAGATCAGAGATAAAATAATAGGGCACATATACCTGTTTTTGTTATCTCTGAAATCAGAGGGAAAATAATAGCTAACATAGACCTGTTTTTGTTATCTCTGAGCTCAGAGGTAAAATAATAGGTAACATATACCTGTTTTTGTTATCTCGGAGATCAGAGGTAAAATAATCGGTACCATAGCCCTGTTTTTGTTATCTCTGAGCTCAGAGGTAAAATAATAGGTAACATAGACCTGTTTTTATTATCTCTGAGATAAGAGGTAAAATAATAGGTAACATAGACCTGTTTTTATTATCTCTGAGATAAGAGGTAAAATAATAGGTAACATAGACCTGTTTTTATTATCTCTGAAATCAGAGGTAAAATAATAGCTAACATAGACCTGTTTTTGATTAACAAAACTGTACCCATGTATCAATCTTGATGACCTTATAATTATAAGCTCCAGATCAGAAATCATTCAAATACAAACATGAAGGGATGATAGGAACTCTCATAATAGAAATACTATATATATATTCCCACCCCCCATACAAAACCTCCCTGCCTATGTCAAAGTTAGGATATATATGTACACTGTATCAGAAAATCCAACTTTTAGCAAAATTTCGAGCAGTCTCTATAGACGGGAAGTTTTTTGATCGACCACAGGGTAAAACTTTAGCAGGTTGAAAAAAATATGATTGATTGTCGTAAGGTTCTACTATATTTTAGTTTTGCTTTTGATCAAAAAGGTTGATATCTGACTGTTCTAGACAAGAGGGTGTTGTTCTAGACAAGGAGGTATAAGTATGCCAAAGACGAGACTGTACATTGATGCAGACGCTGAAACAATGAGCTGGCTACCACGAGATACGGACGATGATTTGTAATCAACAACACAGTTGTATGGCTGGATAGGCCTAGACTTGGTCACGTAACATACACATTTAATGGGCGATATTTCTGTAGAAACACCCTGGACAGATCCTGGAGTGCTGCGCAAATAATGAATATAAAGTAGCGCCATAACCTTGTGAAACAGACTGTCTACTCTGTCATAAGTCTTAACCTTATACAAAAGTCAAGCACACTTTTAGTGGATAATGAATGGGAATCGCACTCGCATTCCCAATACACACCTCTATTTACAGCAATTCGTATACGATATTTTCACCATTATTCAATGTCACTGTTGCATCTACAATTATAATGCTACAGCGTTCATATTAAACGGTATTATTACCATGTATATTAAGGCGAAATATGACTCACAGATGTGCAAGGTACAGGGAAGACTGGTCTGTCACAATCGCGTAATTACACGACTTTGTACATGAAACATGTGAGTCACTGTTACAATCACACAGCAGCCGTAGAGAGTGGGTAATTTACTGTAGCTATTAAGAGGTACTGTGAGACCAAAGCCACAGACAGGTTCACAATAAAACTCTAATACCTCCATAACCAGACGCTCGAGGCCGATCTATAACTCGTACAACCTCCCCGTTATATATATACAGGCAGAATAAAATGTATATAATTTACGTAAATCATGAAGCAGACAAATTTGATATGGCTTCATTGATGAATAGCAGTGCAATGTCACATAAAAATGGATTTACATTTAAATAGCCACAACACATAATGATAACATCATGTTAAACAAGATTTATAGATACAATTAAACATGGGAACATTCTATGGAATAGTCGTGTAGGAAGAAAGATAACTCTTGCATGAACATTAATATTCTCATTTTAGCCATGTTTATATAAATTTTATTTAATGTGGTAAGTCACACTGTTTTTCTTAGATTTAGGCACTAAAGTCTGTCCTTTTTAGTGAAAACTGGAAATTTTGTAGCGATTTTCTGTACACAGAAACCAAACTGCCCAGCCTAAAAAGGTTCAACAGAAAATGATGTGTCAGAACTAAACTAGCTAGATAGGTTCCACTATACACAGACACTGATGTGTCAGAACTAAGCTAGGTTCCACTATACACAGACACTGATGTGTCAGAACTAAGCTAGTTTTCACTGTACACAGACATTGATGTGTCAGAACTAAGCTTGGTTCCACTGTACACGGACATTGATGTGTCAGAACTAAGCTAGGTTCCACTGTACACGGACATTGATGGGTCAGAACTAAGCTAGGTTCCACTGTACACAGACACTGATGTGTCAGACCTAAGCTAGGTTCCACTATACACAGACAATGATGTGTCTGAACTAAGAGAGGTTCCATTGTACAAAGACATTGATGTGTCAGAACTTAGCTAGTTATCAATGTACACAGACATTGATGTGTCAGAACTAAGCTAGGTTACACTGTACACAAACATTGATGTGTCAGAAATAAGCTGGGTTCAACTGTACACAGACATTGATGTGTCAGAACTAAGCTAGTTTTCACTGTACTCAGACATTGATGTGTCAGCACTAAGCTGGGTTCCACTTTACACAGACATTGATGTGTCAGAACTAAGCTAGGTTACACTGTACACACACATTGATGTGTCAGAACTAAGCTGGGTTCCACTTTACACAGACATTGATGTGTCAGAACTAAGCTAGTTTTCACTGTACTCAGACATTGATGTGTCAGGATTAAGCTAGGTTCCACTGTACTGTATACAGACACTGTCAGAACTAAGCTAGGTTCCACTGTACGTATACACAGACACTGATGTGTCAGAACTAAGCTAGGTTACACTGTACACAGACATTGATGTGTCAGGATTAAGCTAGGTTCCACTGTACACAGACATTGATGTGTCAGAACTAAACTAGTTTTCACTGTACACAGACATTGATGTGTCAGAACTAAGCTAGGTTACCCTGTACACAGACACTGATGTGTCAGAACTAAACTAGTTTTCACTGTACACAGACATTGATGTGTGAAAACTAAACTAGTTTTCACTGTACACAGACATTGATGTGTCAGAACTAAGTTAGGTTACACTGTACACAGACACTGATGTATCAGAACTAAGCTAGGTTACACTGTACACAGACACTGATGTATCAGAACTAAGCTAGGTTACACTGTACACAGACACTGATGTGTCAGAAATAAGCTGGGTTCCACTGTACACAGACACTGATGTATCAGAACTAAGCTAGGTTACACTGTATACAGACACTGATGTA